AAGACAATCCTTTAACTTAATCTTAACTGATTCTCTACTGTATTCTCCAAAGAAGCTGTTGCACACCATCTCTTCTCTCCTCAAGTCCCCTAAAACACACTGCTTTCCTATTATCTCAGCAAAATGAAAGAATAAAAAAGTATCTATTAAGTGCTGGCCATGTGCCAGGCTCTATGCTAAGTGTTGATTACACAAACACAAAGCTATTCCATTGCACTGGGGGAAGTCTTCGCATGCTTGAGTAGACAAACTCACAGCCAGGTATGAGGCCTGTTGACCATGCTCAACCTGGTTTAGCCCGTCTGCTGACGTGGTTTTAGCAGGATACGGCCAGTGGGCATGCTACAAGCTTCTTGGAGTCACAGGTGAGAGTTGGTGGCAGGTGGATACCAAAGGTGGATGACAAGGGCTTGGCAAGCCTTCACACCATAGATGCTAGTCCTCCTTGAAAGCCCCATATTGCGCCATGGAGCACTTAAAGCTTGATCAAAGACACCAAGGTGAGTTCCAGCCACTATCCTGGCCATTGTGGAAGTCTTGACTTTTGTCTTGCTATTGGACTTCGATGACTCTGGAAGAGTCAGGCTGATGACTGTGCAACTCTGCCTCACTTAAATCCAATTCACACACAAGTCAAGACATCACTCCATGGTGTCATAGGTCCTCTTCAAAAATGAAGGACAAACAACAAACACAAGCAAGTAAGATAGTCATGCCTTCAAGTCAAAGAGCTTATGGTCCATAGCTAAATTTGGAAAGTGGTTTAGGGGTACATGTAGCAAAGCATAGCATGGAGATGGCCCAAAGGTGGCATGCTAGGCCTGAGATCAAGACTAGATAAAACAAAAGCTAACCAACCCAAACCAAACCCTGGGTCACAGGTGTGCAAATTCAGGTTCCCGGAGGAGACAGAGGGAAGGCTGGAGTGCAGGTGGCATAGTATGGAAAGGACTTCACCTCATCTTTTATTGAGAAAATGGAGGCAATTTGATGTCTTCTCCTCTACTTGAGCTCTCAAAGCCCCTTGACAACACCCTCATTCCCTTCTCCTTTATTCTAGTCTCTTTGCCAAAGCCAATCCTACCACTTGTACTCTTGATGCCATCCCTTCCCATCTGCTCTCATAGATTGTCCCTACAATCATCCCCTCCTTTCTATAATTTTCCAATCTTTCCCTAGCTCCTTCCTCCTTCTCACCTGTCTAAAAATATGTCTTCTTGATCCTTGACAAATCCTCATTTAACCTGACCACTCTCCTTAAGCTATCATCCTATACCTTTTCCTTTCCCAGACAAACTCCTAAATACTTTTTTATACTCATTGCTCCCACGTCATCTCCTGTCATTTAACTTCTCAATCCCTTGCAGTCTGGCTTCTGACTTTATCACTCACTTGAAACTTTTCAACATTAACAATGATCTCATAATTTCCAAACCCAATGGCCTTTCCTCAGTCTTCATCCTTTTCAAATTCTCTGCAGCATTCGATGATGTTGAAAACCCTTTTCTCCTGGATACTCTCTCATCTATAAAAGTAGAAACACCTATTAGATGACTTTCTTAAGGATTTTAGTGAAAAAGAAAGATATAGGATGATATCTGGAGGGTATGGTTGGATCATCTAAGGACTTTTTAAGGAGGGGCGCACCCATGGGTATATTGTAGGCATCAGGGAAACAGACAGTAGATAGGAAAAAATCCTGAAAATTAGAGTGTGAGAATGAGAAAGGAGATAATTTGCTGGAGAAGATGGCATGAAAAGTCAAACAATGGTACAGGTAGATGGGTTAGCTTTGACAAGGAGAAGGGCCACTTCTTCAAATGAGACAAGGATGAAGTGAAGGTGGAGGTAGTTAAGGAAGACATCTCAGTCATGTAAGCTGAGGAGGAGATAAGAGGGAGCTCTTGACAAATGGACTCCATTTTTTTGGGTGAAGAATGAGACAAAGTCTTCAGCTGAGGTGGCAGAAGGGGATTTGAGGAGAGATGAAAACGTTTATAATAGTCACAGTGGTGAGTGTGATAATGAATCAATCAGGAAGGTTTAAAAAAATCACCGTACTGTTACAGATTCAACATATTGGTGCTAGACTTCATGCATCTATCCAATCGGTTTAGCCTCCTGCTCAGAAATCACAACCTTGAGGGGATCCACAAGCCTCAGCATGCCCAATAGCAGAGATTATAGACATTCACCACTATGCCTAGCCCAATCATCTATGTTAAGGGTTGTAAATCTCTGACCTATAGGGCAGATTTAGCCCCCAATCTTATTTCTGGTCAATAGGGGAAATACAAAAATACACTGGCCTATGGCCACGAAAACAAGGCATTAAAAGTATTGAGCCACAATATACTAAAAGGCCATAAGATGGAGCTGCTACTCCATGAAATTGTCTTTTTTTAAAGCCTCTTTTTGTTTACTACCCAATTTCCCTTGCCCTCTTCTATTTCTCTTTTAACTATCAATCACAAGAAAAAAAAGATTTTGCAATTTTATATTCCCAACTCTTAATTTTTTAACTAAGTAAATGGAATGTTTTATGAAGTAAGGCTCAAATCAGAACTCTGCCATTTTACTACCTATGTGACCTTGTAAATGAGATTTTTGGCTTTTTTTCTTCCCCCGTAAACTGAGGCAAGAAAACTAGATAACTTGTAAGATCTCTTTGAGCTCTAAATTTACAACACAGTATTTTCCTCTAAAAAGGAAAAAATAACTTTTTCTTTGTGTGGCACTATATTGATTTTTATGTGTGATTTGGTGGCAGAGGGAAGAAGGGAGATTCCCCTGTCCTACCATACTCATACTTTATAGTACCTTCACCTAGCAATTCGGCTGGTATCTTTATTTTATTTTATTGGGGAGGGGTGGATAATAGGGAGAGGAGTAGGAGGGAAAGTGGGGAGGGAGAGCAGACAGCAGCTGCACAGAGCAGAGCTAAATGTGGATCTAGGGCGAAGGAAAATAGATTTTAACAGCCCCAGCTTCTCACCAACTCCAGGCTCAGATTTCTCTGGGCAGCTGGTTTCTTTGGCCCTGCTTTGATAGACTAGGGGGAAGGGAGGGGTTGAAGAATTTTGGAGAGGGATTTATCTCCTGCTGTAGTTTTTATTTAATGATAGCTGCTTTCCACCCCCCAAATGGCATCTATAGACAGTAGGTAGTAATATCCAAAGCGCTTGGGAAGTGGGGACATATCCAGGTACTTGCCCAATTCCCTAAGGGCAGGACCCTATGTTTTAGCAATCCCTAGGGACTGCCTGGATGAGACGGTGACTGGGGTTTCATGCAGGATGGAACTGGATATCTGACCCCTTTCCCTGTCATGGCCACTACTCTGATCTCTCTATACACATAAACACACACATACACTCACACACATATACACACACAAACATACAAGTCTTTCTGCTCTCCTGCTCCCTCCCTCCCCCCAGAATTATGGTCCTGGCTATTTTTAAAACTCTCAACTCAGTGGTCAGGCCTCCTTCCCCCTCAACGCAGCCTCTCTCCCCCATCCCCAGCTGTCCATCCCTTTGGTTATATGTTCACTCCTCACCCCCCAAATCTTTCCTAGCTCCTTGCCCTCAGACAGATTGTAGCTAAGGGTCAGTACTGGAATTGGCAGAAAAAGGACATGGAAAAGGAGATATGGGACCCTTGGATAAAGCTGACAGACAATAGGCAACACTGGATGGAAAACTGGATATCAGACTGACACTTGACCTCTAGACACAGAGGTAAGTCACCACAACATTAAAGCTTCTTTCAAAGAGTTTTGGGTTAGGATTTGGGTTTGCATTTTTCTTAATGCTGGGAATCACAGACACCAACCTCAGTTCCTCTAGGCTACATAGGCTGGTGTCTCAATCTCGTCATGCTGACATGAGAAATGCATGCTGACACGTTGACTACATGGGTATATTCTAGAGCAAGGAGTACTCTGTGCCAAAGTGGGAAGGGGAAGAGAAATTGTCTAGTAAGACAACTTGGCTGAGAGGAATGTTTCTCTAGGAGAAAGGCTAAAGGGCTATACCCAGTCTCTCTCACCACCCTTTCCCCCCAGCATCTGGGTCTCACAGCCAGAAATCCTCCTGTTCCATTTTCACCATTTGTCTCAGACTTTCTGGTGGGGTTTAGGGGGTATTCTCTAAGCCTCCACCTTTGTGGTTCTCTCTGCCAAGGCTAATAATAGAATCAGATGTTTGGTCACTGACACCCCTCCACCCTACTCCCACCTCCCACCTCCAGCTGTACCCAAAGCTTCTGAATTGTGGCTGTGAGAGGCAACTTTCAACTATAGATCTCCCTTCACAATATCAACCCCTCTCCAGTCTATGCTTCACCTGTATGACCTCTTCCTTCTTCCACCCGTTTTAGCCCTAGGTTCTCCACCAGGAGAAGAGTCGTGGTGGGTGATTAGCCTTACCACTTCTTTCCAATGGGGAAGAGAGGAGTATTGAATGTGGGGGGGGGGCGGATTCTTCTACATTTTTGGGGCTGAAGGGGTTTGTGGTTGAGAGCAGCATTATAGGAATATTAGGAAAAGTGAAGCAGCTGTTGGGTCAGGAAAAAAAAAGGTTGATTTGCACACTTGTCTTGCACTTGTTATTCAGTGGAGAGAGCTAGCCAGTGGCTAACACCTATCCAGCACTCTTTAGATCCCAAAGGAAACTGACCTGCATGTCACTGTTCAAAATAGGCTTTGGATATTCCTAGCTTTCTCCCTTCTTTTTCATTCTCTTGATCCTCATGTGGAGGGAATGGCAAGTCACCTGGGTCTTCAGTAAACCCACAAGCAAATGAGTTGTGTTTCTGAAATGTTCTCAGATTATATTCCCACTGAGGGGCCCATTGGGGTAACCGAGTAGCTCTGTCACCTTGGTCATTTGTTTTTTGACCCCTCTGCTGTTTGGTCAGCTCAGGATGGGTCAGTACAGTGGACTCTGCTCCCCCCCCCAACACCCGCCCCATCCTCCCTCCACCTCTGACTGGGGTGTTGCACAAGCTCCCTGGGGTGACCATGGGAGGAAGACACAGGGCCAGAAAGGTTCCCCAAACCCTAAATCCCCAGTTCTCTCCTCTCATTCCTACCTCCCATCATTTCTTTGACCTCCCTAGATCCCCTATAACACTTCTCACTCAGACTTTGGCTCCTCTCACCTCAACCCCCAACCAGATTTCTCTTTGACTGAGGTCCCTTCCAGGGGATCCAGCCAGCAGTCGGAAGAGGCCTGGGGACCAGGGGGAACCTGGCTGGATAGGGATGAGGGAACCAAGCCATTCCCCAAGTCCCTGGTCCCCCCGTGGCAGCTCACTAAGCACCCTCACTCTTCTGCTGCTCTTCTGTGGACATGGTAAGGGGAGGGTTAGGGAAGGGTCTGGGGAGGGAAGGGGAATGGGAATGTAATAAAGGCCTGAGGGATCCCAAACATTCCTATCCAAACTCAGGACTACAACCCATATACCACAGATCAAGGAGAACTCTGTTCGGGGAGATGAGGAGGGAGGAGGAAGGGAGAGATCCTGGGAGGCGGGGTGGAGAAACTGGCGAGATCATTTAGCTGAGGGAGGTGTTTCTTTGGGAGACTCGGTGACTACATGCATTGTTACAGGGCCATAGGGAAAGGCAAAGGGGTTGGCAGTTGCTTAACGGAGGTTGAAGAAGTGGTCCTCAGTTGGTATATAGAATTTGGAAGGTTGGGGCCCTCCCAATGAACTGTGGGAGGGATGTTGGGGGCTACTCTGGATAAGGATAGAGTCTAGGGCCTTTCTGACAATAATATCCTCCACTCTCCATTTTCCCCCCTCCCTCTCCCCCAACCTTTTCCCCTTTCTTTCTTCTCCCGCCTCCCATTTTCCCCTCCCCCTACCAGTTCACTCTCAATGCAAAATCCTCCGCTGCAACGCTGAGTATGTATCATCCACGTTGAACCTACGAAGTGTGGGGGATCTTCTGGAGGGAACCGGGGAGGTGGAGTCCGGGGCCCAGGGGCGAACTCTGGTGGCCTATGTCGCGCCCTGCGCTCCTATGCGCTCTGCACGCGGCGTACTGCGCGTACCTGCCGAGGGGACTTGGCCTTCCATTCTGCTGTCCACGGGATAGAAGATTTGATGATCCAACACAACTGCTCCCGCCAGGGTCCCACGGCCCCACCCCCTCCGCAGGGTCCCGCCCCTCCTGGCGCTGGCCCCGCCCTTTCTTCAGGCCCCCCTACTCCGGATCCCTGTGACTACGAAAGCCGGTTTTCTAGGCTACATGGCCGTCCCCCGGGCTTCCTGCATTGTGCTGCCTTTGGGGACCCACACGTACGCAGCTTCCACCACCACTTCCACACGTGCCGTGTCCAAGGCTCCTGGCCTCTTTTGGACAACGACTTCCTTTTCGTCCAGGCTACTAGCTACCCGGTGGCCACCGGAGCCAACGCCACTGCCACGGGGAAGGTCAGGGTATAGATAGTCAATCCTGTCAATGCTTGTGAACAGCTTTAGTGCCACGACCACGACTCGCCCAACCACTTGCTGATTAGTCTCTTTGGCACTGGTTACCCCTCAAAATACACACTAGCCACTCTGGTACTCATTAGTCATTCCTCATTATAATGCCATGCCTTTGCTGGCCCCTCCCCGCCACTGTTGGCCACTCTCCCAGTCAGACTCTCCCTCTCCGTTACTATTATTAACCACTTCGTCCCCACAGCTTCTCATCGATTCCCTTCCCTTACCAGCATCTCCCTTTACTCCTTTCTACTGGCCACTTTCCATGATCAGGGAATCCAGAAGAAAAAGTGGGAGTGGCAGAGCCCTAAGTAAACAAAGGTGCAGATGGGGAAGTTTCTAAAAGACGGGAACTCAGTCCTATGGGAGCTGCTAAGGTGGAGACTGTAGGTAGGAGGAGGGAGGAAAGAATGTTAGATTTGAACTGGAAACAGGGACTGCTTGGCATTCAGGGAGGCCTAAGGGAAGAGATGAGAGCGCAGTGAAGACCAAGGTGTTTTAGCATGGAATAGACGGATTTAGGGCTGAGGAAGAGGGTGACTTTGGGGAAGATCAAGTTGACCAGAAATGAACCTTTCTTGTTCTCCCCCAAACAGCTCACCATTATATTTAAGAACATGCAGGAGTGTATTGACCAAAAAGTCTACCAGGCTGAAGTGAACAATCTCCCAGCAGCTTTTGAAGATGGATCAGTCAATGGAGGTGACCGTCCTGGAGGTTCAAGTTTGACCATCCGAGCAGAGGCCCCTGGGAGCCATGTGGAGATTCGAGCTGCCTATATTGGTACAACCATCATTATTCGGCAAGCAGCTGGTCAGCTTTCTTTCTCTATCCGGGCAGCTGAAGAAGTAGCAAGAGCATTCTCAGCTGAGCAAGATCTACAACTCTGCGTAGAGGGATGTCCCCCAAGCCAGCGACTCTCCCGGTTGGAGCGACAACGAAGAGGGGCTCTGACCTTTGATACTGCTAGGCAGTTGTGCAAAGAAGGACTACCCGTTGAAGATGCTTATTTCCATTCATGTGTCTTTGATGTTCTGACCTCTGGTGACCCCAACTTCACTCTGGCTGCTCAAGCTGCCCTAGAGGATGCTCGAGCCTTTTTGCCAGACCTGGAGAAGTTGCATCTTTTTCCTCGTGATGCTGGAGTTCCCCTCAGGCTTACCGCTCACCTGACCCTAGTACTTGCTGGAATCCTTGTTTTCTGGTGTTCCATCTGATGAACACTCCCACACCCACTTTAGTAATCTAACTAACACTTTAAATTTGGTAGGAATAACACAGAAACGGGGCAGAATACTTGAGGAAAAGAAGGCGGCAGGGGACAGTCTCAAAATCTGAAAATGGCCTGATGATACTTCCCTAGATATATAAAAATGGGCTAAAATCAAGGGTTGGAGTGGCCACAGGATAGAGAAATGGGGATGGGAGTAAAACTAGAGCCTCTGTGGTATACACCTCTCTAAGAAAGCCTTTAATGAACTTCCTAGTCTTTATGATGAGCAGATTCTCCTACTACTATTCCCTCTGGAATGAAGGTAGGAGGTCATGATTTCTGAGTATAAATAATTTAAGAGATATATATATATATGTTCATTACCTACCAAAAAAAAAAGCAATTGGGTACTTTGGTATACATGATTTCACTGGTATAGGCACTCCCTCTATCAACGCAGATCAAAACCCCTCCATGTTTTTGCATCCAGTCCATCACTACATTTACCCATAAATCCACCCTATTAGATTTATCCAACACACTGGCCTCCCTCTTGTCCTTTTAGTATCACAGGGATGCTGATAGACTGCTAAGATTATCAGCTCTTCATTCTCATCATATGACTCACCACCTTTTCTGATAATATATTTCCTTGATTTTTTTTTACATGACTTCTCCAGTGAAAGTCTCTCTCTCTCTCTTTTTTTTTAAAGCAACATTCTGCAACATAGAATGCTGGGTTCAGGACCTGGCTTCCTAGCTCTGTGACCCTACTATGTGAGCTGCAAGTTCTTTAAGTATTTCCTTATCTATAAAATAGGAATAATAATACTCACCACTTAGTAAACTGTGAAATGGTTTTCAAATGTGAGCTATAATTACTTAGACCCACCGCATCTTTTCATTACCCTTCTAGCTATTCCTAAATTTAATTCTTCTGAGATCATGATCTTCCATGATTAGAAGCCATATTAGCATCTCAAGGAGAATGAATACTGTTATTTTAAGGGGTAGACTTTTTCAATACAGAGCACTTTGGGATCGCTGAAATCGTTGCACAACCCACAAAATGGAAAAAAGATCCAATGCTTTTCATTTACTGTTTTCTTTTTCAGTACAAGTATCATCTGTCAGGAAAAGGGCTATAAGCAGTTCAGGAACTATTTTCCTTTTTGGTTTTGTGTCCTTAGTGCCTAGCCTAAATTAAGGGTTTAATAAATGTTTATTGAATTGGATTGAATGGAGGAAACTGTTTTGATTTCTGCTTTTTGAACTGTCAGAGTGGAATTTCTCTGCCTACACCTTAGGCTTAGGGAATTTCTCTGCCTTTGGAAAGGGGTGCATGTTAGACAGAAATTCATCACCTCCCCCCATATAGTCTGCAATTAAAATTTTTAATTCCATACATATACTTCTGTTGCTTATTTTGAATCTTCCAAAGGAGATCTGAAGAAACACAAGCATGGGGCATAGTGGAATTATTCTTCAAGTAATCAGCAAGATAGGTAAGTTAAGGTAAAAAGATAATTAAATTATTTTTGGATATGTTGTTTGAGATGCCTATTGGCTATCCAGTTGAAAAAATGTCCAGTAGGCAGTGATTTGAGACTGGAATTCAAAAGAAAGAGTAGAATTGAATATATAGATCTGGTAGTCACCAAGAGGACCTGATAAGGTCAACAAGAGAGAAGGTATAGAGAGAGCAGAAAAGAAGACCCTGGAAGGAGACTTTCCATAGTTAGGGATATCGATCTGGCAAAGGAAACCAAATAGAAGCAGTCAGACAGAGTAGTGGAAAACCAAGAGAGAATAGTGTTATAAAACCAGAGAGGAGGAAATATCCAGGAAAAGACAGTCAACAGTATTAAATTCTGCAGAGAGAACTTAGAAGGATAGATCAAGAACATTGAACAATATAAGTACAGAGTATCCCAAAAATCTATTTAAGCTATGAAAGCTTAAAACTGCACCAAGATTTTTAGAACATCCTGTATATAGCTAAATGCTAAATTATGTGCTGTTAATATCATAGAAATTCAGAAGTAAGGAAGATCAATGAAGGGTGAAATGGTTAAGGAAGTCATCATTGAAGAAGGGCCTTGAAGGATGAATAGGATTTGTTAGGCAGAAGTGAGAGAGGAGAACTTTCCAAGCAAAGGAAACAACATAAGTCAGCAACTCAATTTGTGGTCCATGGATGCTGAAGCAGTCTATGGATAGATTTCAATGGGTTTATGAATTTGGATAGAAAAAAATACATCTGTATTTTCACTAACCTTTGGTTTCCAATTCAATAAATCCAATGAACAATTATTAAGTACCTATACTTACAACGTGCCAGGCACGGTGCTAAGGGCTGGGGATATACAATTAACAAAAAGAAAGACCATGCCTGCTTTCAACAAGCTTACAATCTAAAGAGACAACACACGAAAGAAGAAGGGAAAGGCTGGAAGGTGTGGGGGGATTGATGGGATACCAAGGGGTACCAGGTGTGAGGGCATCTTGTTCCATGGAGTTGAAACCAGGTAGGGCAACAGATGCAAAGTGGAGTGATCTGAGAGTCCAGTTTCAGCCCTCTGTAAAAGGATTGGGAGGAGTTTGGTACTCTACCTTTCAGTCCTCTAAACAAAGGGAGAAAGGTGGCTGAGAAGTCAATGCAGGCTTAAGTAAACAGTACCTTGGTGAGTTTATCCTGGGAGGGACATGTTGTTTTGTGGAGCTGAAACCAGAAAGGGAAGCAGATGCAAGGTGGAGAGGTTTCCTTTGTAATCCTATGCATTTTGTTTTATTTAAAAACAAAATGCATTTTAAAACATTATTTTGTGAAGAGGTCCATAGGCTTCAGTAGATTGCCAAAAGAGACCATGACACAAGATAGATTAAGAATACTTGATATAAGTGGAGATAACAAGTTAGAAATGAACATGTTCTATTCCTTGGGCAATAAGGAAACCAATCTGACTAGAGTAGAAATATCCTTGAGAATAGTGAAAAATAAGGATATATAGGTATAGTCAGTCTGGATTATAGAGGACTTTGACAAACAGGTAGAGTTTAGATTTGACTCTTTAGGAGACCAAAAGCCATTGAGGGATATTGATCTTGGGACTGACTTGATAGAAATATCTTTCTTCCTCTCTGAGGAATTCAGGAAGGGCTAGGGAAAGGGGAGGGAAGGCTGGAAAGAGACACAATAAGGAATTGGGGATGCTCTAAAAAATAGGCCGGTTTTAGGTAAAACTATTGTAATCTGAGTTTGCCTTCAGTGTCCTGCCTCCTTTAAGCATGTTCTGTCCCTTTCCCTATCTACTCCTCTTCCCCTAATGACTAGGCTAGGTAAAGGTTGACCAAATAGGAGTCTAGATAGGAAAATTAAGTTACTTTATAACTTCCTACAATTTCTAGATACTCATTCCCCACACACTTTGAAAGCCTTCCCCTTTTAGTTGCCATTCCAGATGTACTATCAACCAGACCTGGCACCCGTAAGCTGTCTAGTAGTGCTCACAGCTCAGAGCTTCCTGTGGAGTGATCCCACTTAAGCTGTGACTGCTCTTGCAGGCCTGTACCCAATTTTACTCTACCTTTCTCCCCACAGTAGTATAGAATTGATTCCTATTATGTTCTCTCTCCCTTCCACCTATCCCACCCACCACCCTCGAAAATGTACTATTTAGCATCTCTTCCTCCCTAGGTCATGGTCTCTTCATCTTCTAAGTTAAAGCTGGTCTGACAAACTCATCTGTGCTAATATGTCCTTCTTAACCCAGAATGGAATCTAACATTATAGACGAGTCTGAGGAGAGAAAAGACACATACAATAGCACTCAGCCTATCTGTGAGTTCAATCCAGAGGAGTCCAATCCAGAATTGTAGTTTTCAATTCTAGAGTTGAAGTAACCACAGATAGCAGAGGAAGACAGGCTGAGATGCATTATAACGTAAGAGAAGAAAATTAGAACTAAGGAAAGAATCAGGGTTTAGTGTAAAAAGCCCTGAACTTAAAAACCAGAAGATCTTAATTAGATTCTCAACTGTGATTTACGAGTTGGTTGGTTGCCGTCCTTCCTTCTCCAGGGGACCAAAATGACATCACTATATTGGAGTCAGTACAGTGTGTCCATCTGTGGCTGAATACAAGCTTGGAAGGCTCTGCCACAGATCAGGCACAAAGAGTCCACAAGCACATTTGGAGTGGAGATGTGTCTAAATCTGAGCATCTCACGTTTCATTTGAGCTCCTGTGATTTTGCTTCACTCAGATGTATCATGGTGCTTTCCTGCAAGTGGCAATTGCACCATCACATGCCCGTTGTTCACTCCTTTTGGTAAGCATACAAACTTGTTGACTAGATTAGTTTTTATTTCAAAACCTATGCCAGCTTCACCATGTTCCCCTTCACCTCAGCCACTCCAGAAAAACATGTATCCAGCTCCAACTTCAGTATGTTGGCCTTCATTTGCCAGCCTTGTTTCACTTAGTGTTAATATTGGGATGCAATACCCACAATGTTTGCTCTCAACAAGAACTGTTCATCTTTCAGGTCTACTGGATTTTGTGTTGTCTGTAAGTATGTGCACATTCCATGCAACAGTGGTGAGTGGAATCACCTTCACAATATTTTTGTATTTTTTTATTTTTGGCATTTTGACTGCAGGGTAGAGTCCCTACCTGCCATAGTAAGCCAGCCAGGGCTGGGCAAAGCAGACGGTTTTTAGAGTACCTTTTTTAGACCCTTCCTCACACCAGGAAGTGAGCAGTACAGCCCTTAAAAAAGTCTGATCAGACTCCCCCCCTCCCCCAGGGGGCTGCTGAATCCCGCTGCTGCTTCAGTCCAGTGAGAAGACAACCCTATGGCCTGCACTGCCTGTGTGCAAGGTTGTGATTATCCATACCGCTTGCTGCTTCATCATTTGCCTGCCAACACAGGACTTTGAGGTAGATAAAAATGGTGAAATAGTATGAGTGATGTCTTTTGATTTGCACATAAATTAGATTTAAGTGAGGCAGAGTTGCTCTAAGTTGTCTGCCTCATTCTCTTGTCCAGAGGCAAGATAAGGTCAAGATGACTGGTGATGGTTCTGTATGCAGTCCATGATCCTGACATCTTCAACATCTAACCAAGCTCTAAGCACTCCACAGTACCTGCTTCAGCAGCCTTCATGGCCATTGAAACAAATTGTTCTCATACAAGGGGAAGTCTTCACATGTTTGGGATAGACACCCCATCTAACTCACTAAAGGGTCTGAGATCCCTCGGTTACCCTCAGCCTGGGTTAGCCCATCTGCCGATATGGTTTCACCAGGGTATGGCCACTGGGCATGCTGCAGCTTCTCGGAGCCACGGCTGGGAGCTGGGCGAATCAGTGGATACCAAAGGTAGAAAGTGGTCCTAAAAAGGGCTCAGCAGTTCTCACGCCAGTGGTACTTGTCCCTCCCTGAACACACCCTGCACCCCTATGACTTACTAGCTACATATGTCACAGCTTTCTGAATTTGTTTCCTCATTGAAAAAGTGGGTACAGTAATACTTGTATCACCTACCTTATAGGGCTGTGGTGATGATCAAATGAGATAATGTACATAAAGAACTTTGCAAGGAAAAAGCACTATTTTCTTCTAAATCCTGGAAATCCTCGATCTGAATTCTGGGCCCTTTCTGCCCTCAACCCTCCCACCCCCCGCAATAAGCAGTTTATTTCAGAAATGTCCCTCATTCACTGCTTTATTCAAAAAGAGGAGAAAGTATCAAGAATTCCCGATGATAGTGGTACTCCCCACATCAACCCCCTACCCCAAAATCTTGGCTAAATAACTATAGTTCTCAAATATCAAAAGACCGCTCAGTCTTATCGATGAAGATGGGAAAGAACAACCAGAAAGGTGGAATATTAAAGCTCTTAGATCTATTAAAACTTCATTTCTGCCTACCTCTCTCTCCAAGCCAAACTACTTGCCACCAGTCCCCAACAATGAAGAGGAAGTCACAAGTTGCATGTGTTTCCTGTGATTAAGACAGTTTGTGAATTGGGTAGTGAGCCACTGGGAGAGGTCAGAGAACTCAGAAAATCAAGTGATCTGGGATCTGCTTCCACTGTTCTTTTACTGTGGGCCATGCACCACTCCCTCTGGGACTCAGTTTTCTGAGCTGCTAAATTAACTCATTACTTCGAGTAACCCCAGGTTGGAGTTAGTGGAACTTTAACTCAGCACCCACTTTCCCATTCTGTGT